CAGTCTGGGGTGATCTGGGCTATAGACTCTGTAGTCCCCTGGGGACAGTCTGGGGTCCTCTTGGTGGCAATCTGAGGTTCGCTGGAAACCGGGCAGTCAGAGCGCATGCCTCTGGTGTGTTGAAAAAAAAAGTTTCACTGTTCTTCTGTTTGACTGCTTTAAACCTCCAGGTTGACGAGCTCGTGAGGCTGACATGGAGACGATCCTGCTGAGGGCGCTGGCTGTGCTCCTGCTGGCTGTGGCTGCGGAGCCCAGAGAGGTACTTCGGTTCCGTTTCATTCTGGGATTTGGTTCTGGTTTTCCCTGGGTTTAGGATTCACCACAGATTCTCTCACTGAAACCGTGAAAGCCACACATCAGCTCTGCGAACAGGTTAAAGAGCATTTGATCCTGGCTTAGGCAGTACACAACTTTTTCCTGGCAAAGCCTCTTCTACTGGCACTGTAGCCCATCCCTTCCAGTAGGACTGACTGGAGGGCCACGAGCGTCAGTGAAGGGAGCCCAGGGTTCATCATCATGGTCTTCTCTCCAGATTCCCACCCGTGCGGTCCTGTTGCACACACTCCATGGTTTGTACCTGAAGTCAGAGGGAATAACTATCCATTAGTAGCTATAGTGTAACTCGGAACAATTTCTATTGGTTTATCCGGAAATTTCTGCACAAACCTTTTCGGGAAAATTAAATTTTCCTGCACACGAATGTTAAGACAGGAAATGCAATCTTCTCTTGTCTGACAGAAGCTCAAATGAAGCAATAGTTGCTTTCATCATTTACTTTTGTAATCTACATGACAAATGAGAGCTCCATGATGTTTCCCCTCTACAACAGCACAAATACTGCAGCCGGTCTCACTCGTTAGTGCTTCCTTTGTGCCGGTGTGCGTGTCCCCCAACTGCTTTCATTCCCAAGATATAGCGCCTTCTTTTCTCTGGGGGGTGTCATCGTTCAGCCCCACTATGATGGCGTTTGTTACTGCTGGTTTGGGCTGTTGAAAGTAGTTTCCAAGCTGTTTTCATTCCAAAGATAGAGTGCCTTATTTTTCAGGTAATCGTGCGATTGTCTACGAGGAACTTTATCGTTAGTAACGCCCTCTGGCCAGATCATGTACTGAATTACTGGAGGAGAGGATAACAACGCCCGCGATTGGCTTTCTCAGTCCGACTGGGGAGGATGGGAGTGGGGTGGGGTGGACTTGAATACCACTCTTTACTGTGCGTTTGGGTGCACAGTAAAATTAAAGCTGTCTCCAATATCGTAATCGCAAAAGTTGCCATTTGAGTCTTAAAAGGGGAACATTAGCAAACAATTGCATTTCCTTCCAAAACGATTTAGCCGGCATTTCATAATCCTTGGTAACGAGACCTCGGTTCCAGGTGAGAATCAGCTGCGTAGCAATGACAATTCAGACCACACGATTCTAACATCGAGCACAACTGCCAATGGCACAGCAGAAACACAGCAGCTAAGGAACGAGACTGGTTCCATCGTTGGTGCTATTTGTAGAGGGGCCAGTTTCATGGAGCTCATAGACCCATCTGGTCATCTGCCTCTGCCCATTAACTATTCTTCACCATGACAACACAGTAACTGAGAACCCACAGAAGCAAATTTCATCTTAAATACAGGATGACTGATCTTCAGACCTCCAGTTTAAACACAGAATTATCACACTGTGAACCACGCCGTACCCAGAATTCCCCAGCTCGGGGAGGGGCCTAGCCTTTTCCACCAAAAGCCCAGTAACTTTGCGTTCGGAACCCAGAGGCTCTCCGGTGAGCAATGAGGGTGGCCGTGTTCCCCCCCCCCCCCCCCCGAGAGCCGTCGTCGCGGCCCGAATCACAGGCGGGTTCCCCACAGAGCGAAGCGCGAAGCGGGGGTTCGAAGCGGGGCTGTAATCAGACCAATTCGTTCATCGGCCGCGACTCTTGTCCTTGACGCAGGACTCGGCTCTTGAGAAGGATGCCGTTGCCGAGTCACGGCTGTGCTGTGCGCAGGACTGGCTCGGGCCCGTGCGGCTGGACATGGCCCAGAGCTCCGTGGACGATCAGTACGCGGGCTGCCACAGGAAGATGCTGCAGGAAGTCACCAGGCCCGGGGGGCTGCTGCATCGAGAGAGGAACATGAACGCGGAGCTGAACGTAGCCTGGAATTCCGCGATCTACACGCACTACATTCCAGGGGCGACCGTCGAACACGCCAGGGCCCTCCGGGTGTACACCATGGAGAGGCCGCCAGTCTACCGCTCGTTCAACGCAGCCACCCGCAGCCAGGGAGGAAGCAGGCACCTCTACCGGCTCCGCTACCGCTACAAGGCCCTGCACTTCCTGCTGACGGACGCCCTGCGCTTGCTGAAGAGACTGCAGGGGCCGGGGTGCCGCGCGGTGTACCGCGGCACGAGGTTGAGGTTCCAGGTCACGCCCAATGGATACATTCGCTTTGGGAGCTTCACTTCCACCTCCGCGAGACCGCGCGTTGCCAAGAGATTCGGCCAGACGACCTTTTTCAGGATCACCACCTGCTACGGCGCGGACATCAGCGCCTTCTCCGCCTTCGCCAGCGAACAGGAGGTGCTGATCCCGCCCTTCGAGATGTTCGCCGTGAAGTCGGTGAGGAAGACCGCCGCCGGGAAAACGGTCGTTCTGGTGTCCAGTGGGACCTTCAGCAATCTGAAGTGCTCTTTCTTCACCAGGTGAGCTAAAGTGTGCAATTTAATACCTTTGAGACACTGGATCACATAGACCACATGCTGGATCAAATTGAATACACACTGGATTACATAGACCAAACCACAGGCTTGATCACATGGACCACAGGCAAGATTACATTGACTGCACACAAAATCACCTAGACCACATAGACTGCATACTGGATGATACAGACTACACGCTGTATCACATAGATCTCATACCGGATCACACAGACCACCTACTGGATTGCATAGACTGCACACAAGATCACATAGATCTCATGCTCAATCACACAGACCATGTCCTGGTTACTCTCGCCTGATGCTTCTTCTTCCTCCCAGTTCCTCCTTGTTCTGTGTCTCCCCTGTTGTCCACATGCCTCTTTCTGTGTGTTGAATTTTTATTCTTGATTAAAATTAACCAGCATAATTCTCCAGATTCCTCCTGATCCTCTGCTCAGCTAGGTAAATGCCTTTAATTCTAATACCGTTCTTAAAGATTATGATCTCTTAGGTTAACAACACAGTATTATAACATTATAGTACAGTGTAGTATAAAGTTTCGCATATTAGAAATCACAAAATTATACTGTATTGTTACAGTACAGAATAGTACACAGTATCTTTTGTAGTTTAACACAGTGTCTGAGTAGTAAAGTAAAGCAAAGTACAGAGTATCTGGGCTGGGCCCTCAGGGATAGAAAAGGAAGAGGACTCGCTGCCTCACTGCTGACTTGGGCCCTCAGGCTAGGGAAGGAAGAGGACTCTCTGACTCGCTGCCTCACTGACTCGCTGTCTCACTGCTGACTTGCGCCCTCAGGGGTAGGGAAGGAAGACGACTCACTGGCTCGCTGCCTGAGGACTGGGCTGGGCCCTCAGGGGTAGAGAAGGAAGAAGACTCGCTGACTCGCTGGGAGGTGCTGCCTCACTCCCGGGAGCTGGATCCTCGGGAGCCAGAGAGAAGCAGGATTAATGGGTAAGTTAGAATTGCTGAGAACAGTATGACTGTGGGCACCCTCTAACTCGTACTTCATGTGCCCCCCACTGGGGACCTGGATGGAAAAGCAACACGAAAGAAAGAGGAGGAGAAGGAAGATAGAGGGAACTCAAAACGTCAGATGTGAGTTTGAGTGTGGTTAGGGTTTAAGTAGAGAGAGATTATTAAATAACAGTATTATTACAGTACAGTGTCATCCAGAATATCACACATAAGAAATCTCAGCCTGCTTCACATATATTCACATATCCATGTTCTAACTGCTTCATTCACTTCAGGGTCGTGGGGTAGCTCATGATGTTTCCAGGCAAGCACCGGGCGCAAAGGAGAATACTCCTGGGATGGGACACCACTCCATTA